AGTGTTTAATGTGTACTTTACTAGCAAAATAATACAGGACAATTAATATAGTGGGTGTTAAACCTGATCACTGAATAATCACTTAAGCATCTGTTTGTCACTCCCATTCTTAAGAACAAAGGAAAAAAAGGCTACTGATCTATTCCATTAGTGTAAGGAAAAAAACCAAAACCCACAAAAGAAAATCCAGACTCTCTTTCTAACCACTTTTCTGGATTTCTGAGGCACCTTATTACAGCAATCCTCCCTCGATATATCAACTTGTATAGCACAGACTTTGAAGCTCATGTGGTAACTTTCCTTGCCTTACTAGCAGAGTTGTGTGTTTGATAACTGATCACTCCTTAATAACTCATGTTTCCTCCCCAAAATTCCCTGACATGAAATTAGTTGGGGAAAATATATGAGCAGGGATTTGTGAAGTAGTAAAATTGCTTTGGGCTTCTTTCCCAGTAATCCACACGATTTTTTGAATGGGGGTGGGGGGATGCTGAATTCGGTTCTATTCCCCACATGCCCAGACCTTTCAACTGGGAAGTGATCCCTGGTAGTATGTCTCAGACATATCATCAAATAACAAAAACAAAACACAGATTTGTTGAAGGCCTCTCTGGCTTGGCTCCTGCTTGAATTTGTTCAGTAGGAACTTTCAAAACTTTCATCCTGGGTTAGACAGGGAAAACAGCATAAGCCAGCAGATACAAATATATGTTTGCTCACAACTTTCCCAACTGCAACACTAAAATTACTGGAATTGGTTAGATCTTAATTTCTGTGATGGGACAGGCTCTTTGCCCTATGATACTTACAAAAGCCCCTTTACTGGTCACCCTATTGCCCAAATGCAAGCATCTGAGCTACTGCAGGATAGAAAGGTGACAACAGCCCTGTGTCTCATGTATCTGATTGCACAAGCAAATGATTTGCGTAGTTGCCTAGAACACTTACTGGGGGAAGCCTGTAGGATCTTTATTATCTTCCCTGTTGCTTAAACACCAGTAGAACCCACACAAACTTCCATGTCCCATATCACATCTGTAGATGCATGGCCCATCCAGCCACATGAGAACTGCATTTGCCTATGGCTGGGCAAACCATACATGCTAATGCAGAAACCTGGAGTAGTCAACCTGGCACACACGCAGCAAAAAGGCAAGTTGGTTAGCGCATGCTGCAGCTGGACATTGTCTCTTTTTTGGCCAAATATAAAGGCTCTTAAATAGATGTATTTTGAGCATTCATAGTCAACTGAGTTATGAGGTGGAAAAGCATCAGCCATGCAGTGTTATCCAGTGCGTGCCCTATTTTTCTCCTCCTGGTTCATACATTTTCACTCCTCTTTAGCTTTCTGGGCATGTACTGTACCTTGTGATAACATGGAAGAACAAGGGCTCCTAGTCTTTATTAATAGCTACTACTGTAATTTTAAAAGGAGTTATTTAGGAAATTATAATTTTTGTTACCATAGGAATGAAGCTGTAGGATCCAGCAGAAGAACAATTTAAACAGCAATGTTTAAGTAATTAACTTCAACTTTAATTCTCCGCTCCATCCAAGCTCCTCTTGGGCATAAAGAAAAATACTTTAAAAGCTTTCTCCTCCTCAGTGCCGCTTGACTCTAGCCCAAATTAGGAGGTACAGCCCTGTTATCCATAGCAGGGCTTAGCAATGTACCTTCCCACCCACAGAGCATTTCCTCCTCTTCCCAAGCGAAGCAGCTGCAAAATCTGCCTTGGCTCAGGCAAAGCTCCTCATCTGCTTTTTTTCAGCTAGTTTAAAACAACATTTATGCAACTTTTATACACTAAGAACTGGGTGAATGGAGGAGCATCTAGTCCACAAGTTGGGATGCTTGTACCTGATGAGTTTGCCCATTACTCAGTATAACTAGACAGGGGCACTTTTGTGTGCCCCTTTCTGAGCTGGTTTGCTCCTTTTTTTCTATTTGAAAGGTTTAGGTCTACATTAGGTAAAAAACCAAAACTGGACAGGTGGTTGATTAGCCATTCTGCTGGCCTTCCCCAGCAGGCAGAAGGAGAGAAGGCAAGGAGGTAGAACTGTGAAAAGCTGACACACTCGCCATTGCTTCCTGTTTGTTCTTTAAACCTTTGAACTGTGGAAACTTATAAGCAGCAAGAAAGTGGAGAAAAGTTTTATCTTCCCTGGCTTTAACTCTTTTGAGATCCTATTACTATTCAGATTTGTGAAGAGTGTTCTGGTTTCTCACCCCATGTTTGAAAGAGTCTTGAAAAGGACTACTTTGTAAAACAAGGAATCTCGAACCCCTTTAAATAGATGTCTATCATTAATGAGATTAGGATGTTCCTCAGCTCTCAGTAATGGTAACAGGTCCAATGACTTTCATAGTGTATGAGGTACAGCTCTAATTCTCCACATGTCCTGAAGCACAACATTCCTTTCTTCACAGATGCTTTGACTCACTCATCCAAAGTCTCAGTAGGTAAGCGGAAAAAAAACTGTGTCTGTAACTCCACAGATGCTGTCAGGTGGTAAAGCCACTTACAGATTAAGAACCTAATGCCTGGCTTTTCCTCAGCAAATGAAGATAAGCCAAGAAAGCAAGCCAGTGACCATATTTTGGCATGATTTTCTGGCAATTATAGTGGCCTTATTTATCACCCAACATCTCCTTTTCATTGCACATATCTAGTGTGCTCCAGTATTCTGCCTCACGTTCTTGCTTCTAGAGTCTGGCTTATCTTTCAGCTGTCTGGCCAAGTCTATTCCAGTAAGCTATGGTCACAGGATCCTGTCTCAACAATGCATTATGAACTGGTCACAGGGATAGCGAACTACACAGTTACACTAAAAAAAAAAAAAAAAAATCACTACTAATCTAGCAGGGTATTATCAATTAGACCCAGCTATCTGGAGATTACTTTGTGTTTTTAGTAAAGGTTTAATGGCACTTTCATAGCTCCCACTATTGTTACTGTTGGCTACAGGCAAACAGGTATTTTCAGACACCAGCCCCCTCACACACACGCAGAAACACAGACACAGACACACACACTTATTTCTCTGGAATTGGCTGAGCTGTTGAAACTGGATCCTTTTATGGGAATGTACAAGAGGGGTTTTCATAAGCAAGCTGGAGAATCTGGGAGGCACAGTTGGCTCTCTGTCGGAGTAGCTGAGAGCGCTCCACCCCCTTAAATTCACCTTGTTCTGCCCACTTATTGGCGCCTTCATTTCCACACAGATTCATGTATGTGGTCACAGTCAAAAGAGGGGACCTTAGTCATATTTTATGTAATATTTCCTTGCATGTCAAGTGGAAAAAAAGGAAAGAGGAGGAGGATTCTGAAGGACTAGGATGTTTTTATTGGCTTTTAATTTCTTTTATCTCCCACCCAGTTCCAGGACTACAGGAAAACATTTTTACCACAAAATCCTAGTATATTGAAATCTACAAAAAGGATACAACAGGTAAAAAAAGACTCTGGTTGATCCTATGCTGGTGTAGCACTTTAACTGAGCACTTAACAGGTAGTTTTGTATTTTTTAAAGACAAGTTCTCAAACTGTTGCGAATACCAGGGGGGTGAGAGGACCCTTTTTTAGTGTTTCAAGTTTCCTGCAAATACTTCAACCTTTCTTTGCATTATTTTCAATTCAGTCCAAAGACTGGACGACCACAGAAACCATCAACTAAATGTAAGAGCAACCAAAAGAAGAACCACTGAAGTTATTTACGAAACCTACATGTGACAATGAAATGCAAATACAAAAGAGGGGTGGGGTGAGCGTAGCAGGGAAGAAGGAACAGTTTAAATTTATCACAGTATATTATCAGAATTCCCTCAGGTATTCTATTCAAAAAGACAGAATTTAACCTGCATTGTCTTTGAATAAGCAATTTAGTCTCCAAGAACTTCTGCCTCACATACGCCTTTTTTTGTGAAAGCTGACAGAGCTACTTCACTGATAGTGTTCTGGTAAAATACCTCCTGGGTAAATGTGCTTTTATAAACAACCCATTCTGAAGTTAGTGAAACAATAATACATTTATGGGACAGAACCTTGGCATGTCTAACATAAAGTCACTTTGGGAAACTGGAGCTGGTTGACAGCAGCTGAGTCTAGCCTAATGCTCTTCCCAGTATATCCTATCTCCTGGCTTCTCTTGTGCAGATTTTTTCTAGAATAAACAGTAACTTACAGTTCCCAAACTGGCACAGGAGCATTATTAGACTAAGTCTCCTTATTTCTTCATCCCTGTGGGGCAAGGACATGTTAGAGTGGTCACGGAGCTGTCAAGTTAATGCAACACCACCAAAATACCTGAGGGAGCTTGCAACTCTCATGTTACACTCCTTATCTCATCGAAGGAAAGGCTGTCTGTAGAAATGGATTTTTAACATTTATGCCTCCCTCTTGTGTTTCTACCATATGAACTCACCAGACTATGTTTATTTCTCAAAAGATCTCTACAAATGTAAACTTTACACATTGTATTTTCTTGGCTTCCCCATAAATATGTAAAACCAGGAGAGCACTGAGAACAAAAATTCTTTGAGTTGTTGAGTCTAAAATTCCTGTGGAAATCAACCAGAATTACAACTATTACAGAAGTAATGTAATATTTTTTTTAAAAATAGGGATATTAGGGGAGAGGGAGCATAATATAAATGCCTTCATCCAGCACAAGCTATGAAGAGACAAACTGAGTATACTAATTCTGTTCCACTGGAAAAGAGGAATATTGTCACTTAGTTCGCGAGAAGCTGGTTTGATTTGGGTTGGGAAGTTTGTTTGTTGTTGGGTTTTCTCTTAAAAAGTCATAAAAATATTTTTATTCTGGAGAACCTAGAGAAAACAGCATAAACAGCCAAGGAAGAGAGAATTCCTGGCCTCATCTTGACTTCTCTAACTAGAATAAGGTCACAGATATGCTTTTGTACAAAGAGTTTGTCTGCACAGAGGGAGGAAAAAGTTGCCTGTTGAGAAGCAGAAGCAAAAAGCAGAAGACAAACATACCTGACTTGCCCACACCAGCCCGACCAAAGATCGCCAATTTCACTTCTGCACTCTTAGCCATGCTGGAAGGAATAGAGTGGTGGCAAACTCACTCAATTATCAAAAGTGAAGCAGAAGAACTGTTCCCAGCTCCTGTGTTTGGCTTCAGTGTGTCATTGTGACGTCAATGAGCAGAGCCTGGGGAAGAATACCACAAGGATGGAACTGCAAGGAGCAAGGCTCTCACTTTCCCCCGTCCCCCTCCCTTTTTTAAATAGTCATGATAATTGATGCTCTGTTCCTGCTTTAAACATTGCAGTAACACCACTGACATATTTGGCACTGTTCATGCAAAACCTACCTTCAGCTTTCTGGCTACTGCTGTTTACTTCATGCTGCTAGTCTAATATTGCAAAAGGTACGGATCAAGGTAAAGTGCCTGCCTTACAAGGCTCCTTATTCTTTCTTTCTCTTGCAGTTGCAATTGCATATATTTACTGTATATGACTCAACTGCAATGAATTACTTTTTGTAGAATATTATTTAATAGCTGTGAGCATTCACTAGTAGTGCCTGCAGATAGCTAATCTTTCCTCGAGCTCTCCAGTTCTGAAAAGGTTTCAATTACTCAGCTGTAGTTGCTTAAAAACCTCTAAGCACTTGTACCTTGCCCACTGTACTAAGCAAATCTGTACCCAGAAAGTTCACTAGTGCTCCTTTTTCAGCTGCCTCAGCTCATACATAAACATTGAGCAAAGCATGGGGTTAGCAAAAGAATGCCAGAAGTGTTGGTAATGTACTTTTAACAGGCTGTATGGGAATTATCTTTGTTCACAGTTTTGCTACATTACCTTGAGCTAGTCAGCTGACACCTCATCTTTTTGATTTGATTTCTCCAATCTAGACAGTAAAATATATAACCCTACCTGTCACTGCAGAACGTTTTAAGATCTTGAGGGAAAAAATGGCAACTAAGAGGATGATGATGATCCTCAGCCCTGACTTAAACATCAAAAATTCACTCTACTTTTAAAACAGGGTAGAACTTTACCTGTGAATGTGTTATCAAGGTTTGTTGTTGTGTTGAAGTACCCACTTCAGCCATAAATTCTAACAGTGATATAGGAACCTCACTATGTCAGCATTACCTGCTCTACAGCAAAATACATTTCAAACGTATTTCTTGAAATAAAAGTCTGAGGCTTTTTCCTATTCAAAAAAAAAAAAAGCTTGTAAAAAGAAAAAGTAAAGACACCTCACATCGACAAGGGTCCCGATTCATGTCTGACGTCTTAGCGCTCCTGATTTCTTTTGCCTAAGTATCAAACCACTCTCACTCTGCATGGGCAGTTAGAAGCACAAACTGTTTCGGGATGTAGCGGGATGGGCGAAAGGGGGAGAGAGGGACATCGGTGTTTGCCTCCTCCGGTCGCCCGCCGGTCCCTAATCCCGCACCGCCGTCTGCGGCACGACCTGCTGCCCCGCGCCGCCACCGCTGCGCGCCCGCAGGTCTATTTCACGTTTCTGTGCAGATATTGATTCATCACTGCCTGCCCCGCAACCCCGGGTGGGCGCTGCTCCCCGGCTGGTCCCGGCAGGTGCCCCCGCCGGGTGCAAGGCGGCTCCTGCGGCTGCGGCCACCGGAGCTGCCCGGCACACCCAGCTCCCCGATCCCTGCGGGCACCGTGCCCCTCGCGCCGCATCTTCCCTCTTCACGGTCCTCCTCACATCCCCCTCGCGGGTCCTCCCTTCTCCCCGCACCGCGCCCCGCAGACGCGCACAGCTCCGCCCGCCCGGCGCTCACCTCTTTGCGCGCTGCCGGCAGCGCGGAGGGGCCGCGCTCGGCGGACCCCAGGCGCGGCGCTCAGCGAGAGGCGCGGCCTGGCCCAGTCCCGGGTTCCCCCGGCGCAGCGGCGCGGCCGCAGAAGGGAAAGGTCCGCCCGCCCCTCCGCCCGCCCGGCGGGGCTCCCGCAGCGCCCGGGGCCGCCGTGCGGGGCCGCCGCGCCCCCTGCGGGCCGCCGGGGGCAGCGCCCGCTGCCGAGCGCGGGCGGGACCCGGGCCGGGCGGGGCCGCTCCGGCCTCTCCCTTCAGCGACAGCGGGATTCGGCGCGCTGCTTCGGGGAGCGGACGCAGCCCTGTAATTCAGAGCGTTCGGCGGTACCGCACCGTTTAATTATGTGGGAGAGCGGCTGTTGTTCACTTGCATGAATTCTGAGTGAAGCACTTGCTAGCGCCAAGTCTGCTCCGCAGTTTATTTTAGCATCTCAAGTAATCCCTCCCTCTCACTCTCTTAGTGCTGCTCACCAATACCAGTCTGTGCAACCGTGCACAGAACCAGAGTCTCTCCCTGTCCTGACACACATGACAGCAAAGTGACGGTAGGGCTGCTGCCCCATTAGATGGCTTTCCAGTAGCACCAACTTTACACATGGAGCTCTTCTGACTTTCTCACACGTTGTTATTTCAATTTGCAAGTGTGGGAAACGAATCATGTAAACACATCAGCCTCTCCAAGAGGTTTGTGCCAAAGCCAGACATCAACCTCTGAAATTAAAGGACCAAATTTATCAGATAGCTCTTACTTCCATGTTTATTAAACTACCCAGTAACATAAAGATACATTAGTAACAGATGTGAACCAGTGCTTGAAAGCACTTAGGGTTCAGTGGATGTTCCTCCTCTGTTTCTTTTCCAGCCCAGATCTGAATGAGATACAAAGCAAGTAAAAGAAAAAGCTCTCCACTCACTGTATGCCTTGATGAAAAATTAAACAGGATTTGAACTGGAGAAGATCTTCCATGGTCCAAGTCTCTCTACACTACAATGATAAATGTTTAGGAGGCAGGTTGGCAGATTTGAGGGGAAATGAGCACCTACTATTCCAAGTATTTCTACTATTCAAGATGTACCAGCTGCAGGCACTCAGGGGCAGATCTTAAAATAGTTACACTGCATATCATTGAAAGGAAAAAAAAATTAAAAGGCAGATATTAAAAGCAGTAGTGTGGTTAATGCTTTACTTGTTAAAAGTAAATGCTGAGTCTTTAGGCCTTCACTCACTGTTTGGTTTGCATAATTTAGAGGGATTAGGTTTTTCCATCCTCCTAAGAGAGCAACTGGTGTCTTTTGCATCTGGGGAAATGTGCACTAGTCTTGAGGCCTGACATTTGTTTTGTGTCTATGGAATTCACCCTGTATGGGGCTGTCAAATTAAATATGATAACTGGCTTTTCCAAAGCAACAGATAATTTATTGGTCATTAAAAATCCTAGTGGCTGTGCAGTCAGCTTGTGCTGAAGCCTCTTATTGGTGCCAAGGCATAAGAATGTAGTAAACACTATTCATGGACACAGGTAAAGGTTTCAGATGGTTCAGGCTCAAGGCTGGTCCAGGATTGCTTTAGTTGCTGCTTGTTTTCTCTGTACTCACTGTGTTTCTCACACATAATATGGATGAGTTTGAGTGGGGTTTTTTCTACCCAAAGTGGGTTTTGAAAGCCTTAGGCTTTAGTCTTATAGATCAAGGGCCACCTTGCTTTGTCATAAGCAATGTTTTTCTGGTACTTGTGACTGACATGGTGTATTTTCTCAGTGGTATTGCCTGTTCTGCTGATCAAAAAACATGCTTATGGGTATTATCTTGGCATGGGTAATGAGATGATGCCTGAATGATGGGGCGGGTTCATTTTCTGCCCTTCCATTTCATGAAAATTAGGAAGAAAGGAAGTAAAGCTGAATGTACGTGGGGTCTGATCCCAGACAGTCTTTGCATTGTCAGTCTGAATTCAGCCTGATCCATCAGAAGTCAGGAGCAACCCTTTTTCACCCACCGAAGCCACGTGTCCTGGATTTCTCCTTCTTTCCCCTTGCATCTTTGGTGAGTCATAGCATTTCACAGCTTAATTCATTTTTGAAAATAACACTTTGATATGTTTAAAAATATTGTTCTTGTTTTACAAGGAAAAAGAGCAGTCCCAGCACAAGAGGATAGCTGGCTTGTGGGAATTATTGGCTGAAATGGAGCTAAGGGTAACTCACTCTGTTTTATGGGCTCCTTTTCTACAGCTGTCAAAGCAGTGAAATGTTTCTAGCCACAGTAATCAGAGAGTTTATCTGTGGCTTTTTGACTCCTAGGGACAACACTGAGCCTTGCAATAAGGCAGAGCAGGCAACCTCCTCTCTCTTGGGGAGCACAGATTGACACAGTTGTGTAAGCACCGAAAAGCTGGGCCCAGCCATGCTGAGAATATGGAAACTGTGGCTGCAGGTTCTGTAATGTGGGCCTGCACCTCATGATACAAGTGATATAGTTGGTTGTAGTGGGTTGACCCTGGCTGGATGCCAGTTACTCACTACAGCTGCTCTCTTACTCTGCTCTGCAACTGGACAGAGGAGGAAAAAAACCAGCAAAAGAGTCATGAGTTAAGAGCTGTGAGAGATCACCCAGTGATCACCATCATGGGCAAAACAGACTCAAAGTGGGGATATTAATTGAAGTTATTCCTTATTACTAACAGGATCAGAGCAAAAGAACGAGAAGTAAAATAATCTTAAAACACCTTCCCCCCCATCTCTCCTTCCTTCCATGTTCTTCCTCCCCCCCAGTGGTGCAGGGGGACTGGGAATGGGGGTTTCGATCAGTTGTTTTTTCTGCTCAGGGAGGGGACTCCTTCCCCTGCTCCCGTGGGGTCCCTCCCATGGGAGACAGTCCTTGATGTGAGAGTGAGTCCATCCCACAGACAATAGTTCTTCATGAAACTGCTGTCCCATGGATCACTTCTCCATGAGGTGCAGTCCTTCACGAATGAGCTGTACCGGTGTGGGTTCCCCACAGGGGCTACAAGTCCCACTCAGGAAAAGCTTGTTCCAGTGTAGCCTTCCCTCTCCATGGGCTGCAGGTCACCAGCAGGACCCTGCTCCATCTTGGGCCTCTAGCAGGGTCACAGCCTCCTTTGGGCATCCACCTACTCCAGCATGGGCTCCTCCATGGGCTGCAGGACGGTCTCCACATCCAGATGGTCCTCCATGGGCTGCAGGGGCACAGCTGCCCCATCATGGTCTGCACCACGGGCTGCAGGGCCTCAGCTCTGGTACCTGGAGCATCTCCTGCCCCTCCTTCTGCACTGGCCCTGGTGTCTACTTTGTTGTTCACATGTTCTCACTCCGCTTTTCCCTGGTTGGAATTCTGACTGCATAATAACTTTTAAATATGGTCTCACTATCACTTTTAATTGGTTCGGCCTTGTCCAGTGTCAGGAAGCCCATGCTGGGTCTGACTGGCACTGAGGAGACAGGGCAGCTTCTAACAGAAGACATCCATGTAGCCCTTCCTGCTACCAAAATCTAGCCACAGAAACCCAGCTTAGCTTAGCTTCCCTATTATCAACTCTAAATGTTGCGGAAGCTACATACTTTTAAGTCAAAGTAGAATGCTCTTTCATTACTGATTAACACAGCTCCATCTAAGCAGTCCCAAATTACAGAAGTATTTTAGAAAGACTCGCAATTTCAATCAGCACTAAATAATATTTTACTGACTTAATAAGATATATCTAAGTGTTACCAAAGTCCAGAGTGTTCTTTCTTTGTGGTCTGGAGAAACTACGTGTTTAAAGTCAAACTTCTGTTGGCTTCTTTTTTTCGTTCTGGGTGCTTATGATGTGTTTACTGAAGGTGTTACTCTCGTGAAAACCAGTGCCATTTGGTTCCTGAAATGGCAGAGGAGAGAGGACTGGTAGGAGAGAGGACTGGTGGGACACTGCAAGCCTGGCAGCCAACATGTGAAAAAGACATATGAGCAAGAAAGGAATGCTGAAGTTGTGGTTTGTTTGGGTTATTTTCTTTTGAAGCTGGAAATCCCATTATAGATGACAATTCTGTAGGTTTCAACAAGTTCCAAAACAAGATTTGGGCATGAGGATTGTGAAGACTCATGAGAGAATAAAAGATGATAGATTTCAGATGGTCATTTAGGGCTCTTTGAATCCTATGGAACTGAGTGGCATTTCATCTTCTGAGAACCTCTGTGCAACTGAGTCCAAGTGTCTACAAATTGTAGAGCAGATCATGCCACTGATGACATGGACAAGGACACAGATTCCTCTGGCACAATTCCTGCAGTAAGGAAGGGCTTATTGAACTCATGGCTGTTATCTTTGTCGCTGTTGTAGAGGAACAGCCCAGACTTGCAGTGAGAATTGCTCAAGAACAGAGCACACCTGGTCAGAGCTGGATCCTTGCTTCAAAAAGCAAACCATCAGTGACTTGGTTTAGTTTTTCACCCTTCCTTCCAGCACTCCAATAGGAGCTGAGATGATACTTCATAACTAGTAGAAAAACTACCAAATAAATAGCATGTTAACACAAATATTTGTAGCTATTACTAAAGGATCACAGGGAAATATTTAGATTGTTTTCTTAATTTTCACAGAATATCTTCCAAATGTTTTTGTGTTGGCTCTCAGTAATGTACATAACTCTATTCAGTTACATGAAAAAAATTGCAACTTTGTCATTAAATTATGAATGAACTTTACTGTTAGTTTGGTTTATAGTCAATATGAAGTATTGCTCTTTCAAATGAATATTGCATTTTTTCATATTTTTCCCTGAAGATTATAAAACACTGAGTTTATTGTGATGAGTTTTGTTGAGTGTAAGCCAAGGATTTATAACTTCTTTTTCTCTGAACTTTTCCCTGAATATTTAGAAGAAAAATCAAATATGTATTTCTAAGATGCAGGCTTTATATTTAGTAAGTGTTTATGTGTAATGGAGTAAATAAGACCACAGTCCTGCAAGTATTTGTTTGTGTTTAGCTTCACATGGACAGGCTTAATGGAGTGGCCAAGGTAGCTACAGCTTCCCCATTAGTACCACTTGAAGGTGCACTGTGTAGCCACATGCAG